AGTAGTTGGTCTTCAGTCTGCGGTTCTCCTCTCTCAGCTTCTCGATCTCCTCCACCAGAGACTCGTTCACAGAATATTTTTCGATCAGACCGTGGATTTCGTTCTGAAACAAACGTCAGGTGTTCAGACTAAATAATGATTTCATGGTTCAGTCAGTCACTGCATTTGAACGTATTTATATATTTAAGTGTTGTATTATATGGACTTGTCTTTATTTAAGGGATAGTTCACAGAAAAATGTAAATTCACTCATTATGTACTCACCACTATGAAGACAGATATAATTAAACTCTTTCTAGATTCCACAATTACACCAGACTGAAGATATTAAATTAAATTCCTACTGGAGAATGATCCCAGTTCAAATGTATAGAATGGGTTGTTCTATCTTGGTGGGAGTGTAGAGGGTGAGAGAAACACGAAGTGATCAAAGATGAAACGTACCAGCTGGATGTAAAACTGTCGGACCATCTCCACCTGAAGGTTGACGATGTCTCTGTGACAGTTGTCCCTGAAGAGAAGCAGACAAAACTCATCAGCTTCAGACGTGTCTCTGCTGAGTTTCTCTTTCCTCTGTCACCTCGTATTTGTCCATTAAAGAGGAAGACACTCGTCTCCACAGACTCTGAGGCTACATCTCTGTCCACATGAGTGATGTAGAGTCTGGCTCCGATCAGTTTGAATCTCACACTAACACGCCTGCAAACACAGATCCTGTGACCATCATGCACTCTGGCCATGCTGGGTGAATAACCTGAGGCCTGAACTACGAGGTGAGTTCAAACTATCCAGGATTTCTTTCAGTTATCCAGCTGAACTTAACCTAACCATCACAGTCAGGCTGTGGTCACATGACGCGAGTTAGCAACTCGCTAACTCAGGTTTTCCTCATCAAGATCTGAGTATGTGCACATAGAAGAGGCGGGGTTTACTGCATATGACCAATCCCAGACAGTTTGACTGACAGCAGAGCCTCATGTTTCACGAGGATCACAGTGTTGTAGAATAAAAAGATTTTCACGAGGTAAGTCTGTAAACTCTCTTTCCCCCAAATAAGATTTCATTTCACAGGATTAAGCTACTAAAAGGATTAGAGTGTGAGCGGTTATCCTCCGCTAACACTCCCAGTACATCAGATTCATTACATGAAGTAAAGACGCGTAGATGAAGACAGTGGGCGGAGACTTTATACTGTTTGATCTCTAATCTCAGGCAGAGCAGTTTAGCTGTTCAACATACGTTACCATGGTGATTTACCCCAATAACAAGCGAACGAGCTTCTTCATTCCTGAACTACCTGAAAACCACCGGCCTGTAGCACGAAGCCAGATCTGCTCTGAGATCGTCAGCTCGCTCTCATCGGCATCACATTTTACTGCATGAGCCGATTATCCTCGAGATCCTAGAGGCTCCGACTCAATCGGAAGCATTAGGATTATTTTGTAAACCCCTCACACCTCAGGATTATTTGGGAAGATAATCTGCAGCGACTGAGCTCCGGTCAGGAACACGGCGATTGTTGGAAGGGCCAGATCAGTCCCGATCATGCTCTAGTGTAAAAAACCCCCGAGTGAAACTGACATGGGACCAGCAGCGTTTACAAGCTTCTCAGTTTTAGCAGCACTGAAACTTCAGAGTAGTGTGGACGTCAGACAGACCTGAATTCCTCCAGAGTTTCATGGATCATGTTCTGGATGAAGTGGATCTGGAGGGAGGTGAGAGGAGCAGCTCCTCCCTGTCCCACCACCTCAGCGATGTTCTGGGAGAGCGAGGCGGACGCAGCGGCAGACAGAGCAGGACCTGAGGATTCACAACGATCCAGAACAACCAGATCCTCGTCATCAAGTCATCATTAAAACTCACTGTACTTCTTCTTCTTCTTCTCGTGTACATGTAGAGTGTAGAGTTAACCCTCTGAAAACAGACGCCCCCTGCTGGTGGCCTCAATCTCATCGCAGGATGTTGATGTTTTTCATCTTCATCATTAACTTATTGAAAGTCAAAAAATATTAACTTGTGTTTCTGTGTTTCGAAATATTTTGGATCAACTTTATTTAGCTCAATCTGATGAATTTCTTCATTTAAAGGTTCAGTGTGTAGAATTGAGTGACACCTAGTGGTCAAGCTACAATTTAGATGAAACCCACAACTAAGAACATCAGTAGGATTATTTTATTACATTTCCTTGCTGATAGATCCCTTTCACCTAAATCTTACGAACTTTTAATCGATTATAATTTCAGTTCCTCACTATTTACTCTGGTTCATTGTAGCTGAGGTTGTACAGATTATAGAAATAATTGTAAAAATCATCACTGCCCTACCTGCTGCTGTAGTGGGCGGAGCTCCGGGGACAGGTGAGTCGTAGCTCAGCTGAGCCTGAAAACCATTGGCTCTCCTGAGGCTGGGCTCTGGAGTGAAGAAGGGCGGGGCTGGCTGGCTAGGATTGGTCTGCAGGGCTGTTGGAGGCGTGGTCTGGACCTCCCCCTCCAGACTGGAGCTGCTGGTCTTGTCAGACTGTCGATAAAAATGTTTTTAGTAGAAACACATTTTAGCTTCAGGAATGAAACTGGAGTTGAATCAGAGCTTTGGGTCGATGACACGAAAATAATTATACAACTAATCGCTGATTCCAGATTTTACTGTAAACACCCGGGAGGCTGAGTCCAGGGCCGGGAGTCTGAGTCCAGGGCCGGGAGTCTGAGTCCAGGGCCGGGA